GCGACGAAGGGTACTCACTTGATCTGTTCTAAGCTCTCAATGAAAGCACCAAATGATGGAGTATTAATTCTAGAGAGAAGCGAGAGCTAGAGAGAGAAGTGGGTAATTATATTTCTCAACCCCTATAATGAGCCCCTTGGGGTCTATTTATAGGTAAAAATGTGGATTTGGGCTCCTAGCCATGGGCTTAGGAGGCCCATTACAATAATTATGCCTCTTTTGGGCGGAATATGGCCACTAATGGGCTGAGTACAATACTTAGCAAATAAAGCAGAGAGATGCATTCTGCCCGGACGAAGTCGGGCCGATGCGGCGCCTTTTGGCCGATGCGGTCTCATGGCCGATGCGGTCCATTGGCCGATGCGGCCCCCGGTAGTCCATGCGTGCTTCCTGGATCGATTCGGCTTCTGGCCGATGTGGGCCCACTGGCCGAAGGGGGCCATGTGGGTGTCCTTCTGTTCATCGTTGACTTGAGTATGTGGGCCATGGGGTTCAGGCCCATATACTCTATCAACTGGCTACCCTAAATTTACTGACCCAGCATGAGCTAATTATGTAAATCCATGTCAAAATGGTGAAATAACTGGATAAATTTTTTGGTCCATGTAGGATAATATCAGTTTTGAATATCAAGCTTGAACAGAGATGTGTTCAGAATTGGAAGCCACAAGGTCTTGGTTGAACAAGCTTAAATAAGTACAGGTTTAACAAAAGTCTGCAGCCGTGTATCAAACAAAATGTTAAAGATAAACAGAACAAAAGTTCTGCTCTAATTCCTAATTTCCAGCATGTTGATAAACAGACATGGCTGGGCAGATACAGTAAACGTTAAAAAGGACATATTTGAACGGAAAAAAACAAGTTTTTTCCAGTTTTAGTCCCCCGACTATTATGTCATTGACACTTTTGGCACTCGACTTTTATTTTTTCCATTTTTAGTCCTTGACTATTGTGCTAGAGACACTCTAGGTACCCGCCTTTGAAAATATCCATATTTAGTCCTTCAACTTTCATAAAAGTGACACTTTTGGTCCTTCAACTATCATAATAGTGACATTTTTAATCCTCCACTTATTGTGTCAAAATCACAATTGGAGGACTGAAAGTGTCAATTTGACAATACTCAGGGACTAAATGTGGAAAACTTTGAAGTCAAGGACTGAAAGTGTCTCTAGCACAATAGTCAGGGACTAAAAATGGAAAAATTAGAAGTCGAGTACCAAAATTGTCATTGACATAATAGTCGGGGACCAAAAATGATAATAACTCGGAAAAAAAACTCCATAATGCTTGTTGAAACAAACTAAGCCGTAAGTCCAATTAATCCGCAATTAATTTCAGTAAAACATCTAGAATACCCTTCCAATTTTACATTTAACATTGATCATGAAACTATCTGGTGCAATTATCACATTATGCACTGATGCACACTCACACAGTACCAACTGAGAACACAAAAGATATAACCTCCTCTATAATTCTATTTAACGGAGGTATATTAAGATTGAGTTCATAACCCTTTTATCCCTGTAATCATTTAAGTATAAAAGTGTCTAGAAAGATAATAGTGGAACAGAGAGAATAAGAAAACTTTCCCTGTGCAAATCTGAGTAATCCATGTGATGATGTGAATAATATACTACGTAGTCCCTTCGTTCTCTAATACTTGGCCCTCTTTTCATTTTGGGATGTTCTCTATTAGTTGTCTCTCATTTCACTTTTGGTAAGTTTTTTCAATAAATATACCCATTTACCCTCATTCTCTTTCCTACTTTTTCATTCTCTTTCCTACTTTTTCTTTTACACACAACTCACTACACCTTTTATCCTACCGCTATTAATTCCATCTTAAATCTTGTGCCAAAGCCTATACTCCCATCTATTAGAGAACGGAGGGAGTACAATTTATTCAATTTCATCATTCATGCCGACACGTGATTTGTCTATAACAAAGAGTCAAAGATCTAGAAAGGAAAGAGTTTAAAACCCCGAAAATTGAAAGTCGAACTAAAATAAATCAAACCGCAACCAATTAAAACGATCAGCAACAAAAAAGTGAAACTAACTAGAGCATGTTTGCTAATATCCATATCGGCTGTATTGGATGATTGTGCTGAAATTTATGAAGTTTTGGCTGAAGTGGCTGGATTGGCTGATTCCGCTAATTTATGGGGGGAATATTTAAAATATTTTTATTAATAAAATAAAGAAAATCTTATATAAAAAACGGCTAAAATGATTTCCAACACTAACTTCAGCAATACACTCAAAAAGTAACTTCAATCTTACTTTTTCTTATTACGGAGTATGACATAACTCAGCACGCAAAATCAAAATTTACGTGTTTGGTAACAAAAAAATGGTTGATAAGCCTGATAAGCTTAAAAACATGGTCACCAAACGAGCTTTAAGAGGCCGTTTGGCAACACTATTTTCGGCTTATCAGGCTTATCAGCCAATTTTTTCACCAAACACGTAATTTTTTCTTGTGCGCGCTGAATTGTGTAATATGCAGAAAAAGTAAGGTTGGAGTTACTTTTCTGGCTGTATTGGCTGAAGTTACAGTAGATGGCTATTTTAGTTATTTGTACATATAATTTTTTCTTTATTTTATTAATAACATATATTTTTAAAATAATTTTTTCTTAAATCAGCAGAATCAGCCAATGCAGCCACTTCAGCCAGAACTTCATAAATTTCAGCAGAATCAGCCAAACAGTCGATTTTGGTGCCACCAAACGGGCTCTAAATGTACTAAATAACCGAATTGTGGTTGTTTGATTCGATTTCGGTTTCGGTCTTTATAACCGAACTGAATAAGCCGAACTAATTAAAGTGTTAAATTTAATATGTTAACCGTTAAACTTTAATGTAGTGCTAGAAAAGTAATGTGGTGTGTTATACTCCGTACTTGTTACAAATTTCTTATTGAAAAAGTTAAGTGGTAAATTTATGGTTTAAGAGCCCGTTTGGTAGCACGAAAATCGGCTATTTTGGCTGATTCTGCTGATATTTATGAATTTCTGGCAGAAGTGGCTGCTTTGGCTGTTTCTGCTGATTTAAGTAAAAAATATTTTTAAAATATATTTTATTAATAAAACAAAGAAAAATTTATTTGTAAAAATAGTTAAAATGGTCATCTACAGTAATTTCAGCCAATACAGCCAGAAAAGTAACTTCAACCTTACTTTTTCTGCTTATTACACAATCCTACGCGCGGAAGTGAAAGTTACGCGTTTGGTGAAGAAGTTGGCTGATAAGCCTGATAAGCCGAAAAATGAGGTTACCAAACGCCTCTAATTGTGTTTATATAAATCATTTACAATTTCATTACCTAATACCTACAACAGTAACTTAATAATAATCCGTTCAACCACACTCATTTATATTATGTTTGGTACTTTGGCACGTGTTTTGCCATTTATAGTTAGTATACTCCGTCTGGCCTTTAAAATTTTGCCAAGATTCCTTTTTTGAATGTCCCACTAATTTTGTCACTTTCTTTTTAAGTAAAGAATTTGTGGTTCCATTTAATTCTCTCTTCTTTGCACAAACCTCTACCACACAGGTTTTACTTAATTAATCTTCATGCCGGTCAAACATAACATGACAAAGCTTTAAGGGATGAAGGTAGTAAGATTTAATTGGCACGTGTTTTGCCATTAATAGTAAGTGAGAAGTACACTCGTACATGCAGTATTACTCAAACAAAGGTATTCTGTTTAACTGTTTAAGCCACCCCAACGAGCTCCGTCAATCAAATTTCAAAAATTCTTGGTGCACACGTTCTTATACACACCAGTACACCTCCGTGCCTGTGAGAGGTTTTTTTTGTCTGTGAATGCCAGTTCACAGACAAAACCAGCTTATTTTGTCTGTGGAAAATTTTACAAACAAAACAAGCCAGATTTTATCTGTGAAACGACATTCACAGACAAAAAAAACTCTCACGGACACAGAGATGTACTGATGTGTATAAGAAAGTGTACAAAAGAAAATTTTCATCAAATTTCCTAGCAAATTAGCAATTCATGTGTATTCATTCAAACAACTTAGTTTTTATAGCAATACAGTGCAGTCAATATATATTCACTCAATATACTCCATCCGTCTTGCTATGATTATCCCATTTTACCGTTTTCGTCCGTCCCATTAAGATTGTCCCATACCAAATCTGACATAGTTTGTATGACTCTAAATCATTCTTACTTTATTCTTACTTTATGAATTCAATACCAACCACATAAACTACTTTTTACGTAGTATTAGTTTGTGTGTCACTCTCTCTTGTCCCATTGTTAGTGGGACGGAGAGAGTAATATTTTAATTAACGACTTATATATACTTTTATTAGTATATATGTATTAATTTTTTTCTATTTTTTTGTGAATAATTATGATTTTAAAAGTCAAATATTCCGATGTAAAAATAAATAATTTTAGAGTTCAATTTTATAGTTGTTATTTCATACCTATTTTTAAATTAAAGACTAACAGATGTAAAAAATATATATTTTAATGATGAGATCTTAATTTTAATACATACTTCTATTTAAGAAAGTTTTAGATCTAAATAGCTACCGTAGTTGATACTTCATATTTTTTTAAAATTTTATTAATGCAATATTGGTGTTCTATAAAAGATCTTAGAAAGTTATGAATTTTTTATATATCTTTTATAAAAATTGAAGTACAAATATAAAAGTTATACGCATTCAGTCCCCTTATAATTGTCCCTCTTTTCCATTTTTAAATGTCCCCTATTATTGTCTTATACAATATTTGATAACATTTGTGTGACTCAAATTCTTTCTTACTTTATTTCCAATTTATCAATTATTATCAACCACATAGTTCTATTTTTTCTTAAAAACCACACAACTTGCTTCAATCTCAATATTAGGGCTATGGGAATGGAGGTAATACTACTTTGAAAAAATTGAAATTTATATTTTGTATGGCCCTACTGACTTTTCTTACCTACGGCCAACCGTTTTAGCCCAACGACCCAACGTCCCCCAACCCATTTATGGTCGGAGTACTCTTGGGTAAAAAGCACAAAATTGATTGCAGTCAGCCTTATAAGTTGAGCTCCCTTGCTATATATAGAAACATCAGTATATCTAAAACTAGGAAGTAAAAGCCTAACAGGTAGGACCTTTTTCTTCAAATCCCTTCTTTATGCCTTTTTTCGGAAAGAGCTTTAACAAAACTAGCTTCTTTTAATTGATATTATCTCATTATTAGTTATATTAATTGATCAGGTAATTGATGGAGGATCAGAAATCAAATGGTGGTCCTTTTCGTGTTTTAATGTTGCCATGGTTAGCTCATGGCCATGTCATCCCCTACCTCGAGCTTGCTAAAGAACTCCAAGACCGCAATTTCAATGTCCATTTTTGCTCCACCCCGGCGGTTCTGTCTTCCGTCGAATCCGCTTATTCTTCCTTCCTTTCTCAAATCCATCTCGTCCCGATCAACCTCCCCGCCGCCGGCTTCCCGGAGATTCCGGCCGGCCGGCACACCACCAAAGATCTCCCCCGCGAGCACATTTTCACCCTCTGCAAAGCATTCAGGCTCTCCGCCCCGATATTCTCCGACATCGTCGACCGAATCAAACCCGATTTGCTCATCTTCGATCTCTTCCAGCCGTGGGCGGCGGAGGTCGCCGCGTCGCGGAACATCCCCGCCGTTTTATTCTGCATCACCGGGGCGGCCTCCATCGCCGCCGCTCACCACCTGTTAAAACACCGCTCGATGGCCGGATTTCCCTTTCCGGGACTCTGTTTCCGTCCGCACGAGCTCAAGAATCTAAGGGAAAGCACCGGAAACGTCGACCCAGTGGACCAGTTCGCAATTTTAAAGGCACTGGAGGCTTCCGACAGCGTCGTTCTGATCAACACCAGCGAAGAAATCGACGGGAAGTACATGGACCACCTCTCCGCCATTCTCGGTAAACCCGCCGTGCCCACAGGCTCACTCGTCCGCATTCCGGGGAAAAACGGCGCCGCGGCGGCGGCGGAGAAGGAGGGGGACGCTGAGATCTTGCGGTGGTTGGACGGAAAGCCAAAGAACTCAACTTTATACATTTCTTTCGGGAGCGAGTACTACCTGACCACGGCGGAGATTCAAGAATTGGCGAAAGGGTTGGAGCTTAGCGGCGCCGATTTCATATGGGTGCTCCGGTTTCCGGCGGGGAAGGAGGTCGGAATTGAGGCGGCGCTGCCGGAAGGGTTCTTGAACAGAGTAAATGGGCGGGGGCTGGTTCTGGAGAAGTGGGCCCCTCAAATTAAGATTCTTGGGCACCCAAGTGTGGGCGGATTCGTGATGCAGTGTGGGTGGAACTCGTTTCTGGAAAGCATCCACTTTGGGATCCCAATGATAGCCATACCTATGCACTCCGAGCAGTTCATCACCGCCAGGTATGCGGCGGAGCTGGGCGTTTCCACGGAGGTGATGAGGGATGACGACGGCCGGCTTCACGGGGAAGATATCTGCAAAGCTGTGAGGAAGCTCCTGGCGGAGAAGGCCGGGGAAGAAATGAGGGAGAAAGTGATGGCATTGAATGCGGCGATGGCAATGAAAGGAGCGGAAGGGATAGATAACACGGCGGCGTTGCTCTCCCAGCTTTGCTGCCCTTAGTACTATTCGCATCATTCCACTAATATTGTACTAGTTCTCCGTATCATTTTACTTTTAATATTATTAAAATTAAAATTATCGCATATCAAATTTAATAAAACTTGTGTGGTTCTAAAACATTTTTTACTTTATTATTAGTTTATCAATTAATATGAACCACATAAATTCACCATTCCCAAGAATTGTACTAGTAACATCTTTTTCGTCCCAATATTAGTGGGACCTACAGAGGTAGTATGTACTTATTTATCACGTAGTATTAAATATGATAGTACTAATATCTTGGACTTTTGAATGTGTAATTTCCTCCTTGGAAGTGTAACAGTCCCTCCATAAGATTGAATCTCCAACCCCAAGTGTACTCCGACCAAACAAGGCATATGAACGGATGTAAGTCATAGTGATTCGGTTAGCCCAATGGGATCACAATAATGTCATCCAGTGGTGTTTGACACATGATTTACCATTTACATTTTAATTGCAGATCTTCTTGGTTATCCTTACTTTAGATTTTAATGTTAGTTAACCTAATGGGTCAGGTCTAGCTCTCCCCCCATTAGGCTTTTACTTTGTTATCATTTACTCATGTATTTTAGGAATTTATGAACTCCATATTTTGTACTTTTTTATTATTTTAATAAAATTTGATAAACGTTTCTCGGCATTTACCTCGATGGGGGATCAAACTACTCTGTTAAAAATAAAACTTCGTATTTTGATTACTCTGGTATTTAATTGTAATATTTTAATTTGTGTATATTGACAAGGTAGATGTATATGTATATGTGACAATGTCGTTATAGGGGTGGGTTCGGTTCTTGCGGTTCGGTTTTGACCTAAAACCAAATATAGAATCAAAGTAAAAAGTTCGGTTCGGTTTCGGTTCGATTTTACACTTCAAAACTTGGAACCACGGTTTGATTGGTTCGGTTTGTTTCGATCCAGTTTCATTTTTTTCGGTTTTTAGCCAAAAAATTGTCATTTGATTTAAAATTGTTATAATACTTTGAGATCAAACATATACATAGTACTACCTCCGCTCCTAAAAATCCTTCACGGTTTGACTTGGCACGCTTACTAAGAAAGTGGAATAAAGTGGAAATGTATGGTTGTGATTGTGTAAGAAAAAAGTAAAATGAATGTGAGCCACACAAATTGTCCAAAAAGGGAAAGTGGGAAGAATTTTTGGGAACGGTTCAAAAAGGAAAGTGGGAAGTATTTTTGGGAACGGAGGGAGTATTACATAAAGATTAAAGAATGCAAGCACACTACAACAGTACAACAAATAAAATAAAAATCAAAATAAATAAATATGTTTTGAATTATATGAGTATACGAGAGAGATAAATGTATATATTATTAATCTACATTGTTTGTGACTAGTTCAAAAAAAGTTCATGAGTATATAGTTATATACGTTCTATGTGATATAGTTGAGATGAATATTTATTGTTTCATCAATATGAATTCTTTAAGTTAAATAAAAATAAAAGTTAATTAATACTAATAACTAGTAAAACATATTATCATCATTCCGTATAGCTACATTATTACGGACAATGAATGTGTAAATGAATTTATAAACTAAACTAAACATAACACAAACATTATTTCTCTAGCACAACAAAACCAAAGACTATTAATGATATTAGGATTAGTTAGGATTAATGCTTAACAATTGACAAATAAATTTTATATTTTAATCAGTTCGGTTTGTACGGTTCGGTTCGGTTTTGAAGAGTAAAAACCAAAACCGAACCAAACAACTACGGTTTGGTTCGGTTTTTTACATTCGGTTTCGGTTTGTTAACGGTTCGGTTTTATTTGGTTACGGTTCGGTATGATTTGATTCGGTTTTCGGTTTCTCGGGCCCAGCCCTATGTCGTTATGGTCATTTTTTAGTTTATCATATTCCAGTTCACCTTATGTTTTTTAGTTTATCATATTCCAGTTCACCTTATGGCCAATTATTGGGTCTGTATGTTTTTTTTCAAAATAAAAGCATGCACATGTCTAAATAAATTTCATATTTTCTTGTTTGGTCATGGTTTCGTTTTTTAGATGAACTATCTATTGTATTATTGTATTAAAGAAATGACATGTATATTAGAAAAAGAGTTTTCTCTCACAAAAATATGAGTAGTTATGTTTTATGGACAAAAATATGACTATTCATTATTTACGAATAACTAAATAAGGATCACTATAGTGTATTTCAGAGTTACAAGTCACTGACAGATGATGAGTCACTGATAACTCACCAAATATGTCACTTTTAGAATATTTTAAATAAGTCATATTTTTGGAGTGATATTCATGGGAAAAAGCCATATATGGAGTAGTAAAGTAGCTATATGAAATATTATTGATGTGTCATTCTCTTATTGACTTTCTAATAATAAATATTAACATTAATTTTACAACAATTATTAAATAAAACATTCTAATAAATAGTACTTAAAATGTTTATGAGTTCAAAACTAATACGGAGTATGTATTATTTTTATTTTCTAAATAGGACAAAACTAATATTGATGTACCATATTTTGCGATTATCGAACTTTACACATGGCAGTATTTTCCAAGTTTGAAGGCAATTACTTCTAGTTAGAGTATACAACTAATATACATGTATGAAAGTTCTGCTTTAAAATTTCAAAACGATTTTACTCATATTTCAAGAATTTTTCCTTATTGCAATACATATACTTAATTATTCAATATGACAAAATTTCATACTTTAGCATTACAACATTTAATAATTCATGAAATTTACATAACCTGTTATTGGTTGGACTATGCATCACATCGTATTGTATGTATTAAGTTCAATACCTGAATTATATGTATGTATTTAATACACTATGTTTATATACAAAGTTTAAACGTAATGAAAATATGATACAAATACTTCATTTGCTAATAATGTGATGAACAGCCAAAAACTTTAAAATAAAATTTATATTGGGCAATTTCTATAAAAATTTATTCCGAAACATTTTTTATTCTTTAGTTATATATATACACACAACTCCAAGAAATAAAAATAATATACTCTTGTCTCAAATTATTTTGCACAAAATGATTCCCAAGGTTGATCAAGTATATAAAGTTAATCCTAAAAAAAAAGAAAAAAAAAAGAAAAAAGAAAAAAGAAAAAAAAAGAAAGAAAAAAAAGGAAAAAAATAAAAATAAAAAAATAAAAAATAAAAAAAATATAAAGTTAATCCTCCCTAGCTAGCCAATTTCAAGTTCTTGATTGTAAGAACATTTATAGGGGTTTTGACATGAATATACTAAAAAATAAGATATGGACAAAAAAGAGTTTTTTTTTGTAATTTCCAAAAATGTGACTAATAAGCATTTACTTTACTATATTACCCTTCTAGCACCGCATAATGCTTCTGGAGCAATTCCTAATAACAAAGCCGTGATAATGCACTCCATAACAATGCTGTCAATGCATTCCAACAATGCTTTCAATGCATTCCATAACAATTAACCCACAACAATGTATGCTTCTTTGAATTTAATATCGTTTCTTTTTTTCTTAAATACTTAAATTATACATAAACTTGTGTTAAAATTGAAAATGACTTTTGAGAAATCATTTCAGAGTTTCTACTATTTCGCAAAGTGATTTGTGTGATTAACTACCGGTGACTACATCAACTACCGCTCCAATAACTATCGTCTCAGTGACTAATTAATAGTGATCACCGCTTCAATGACTATCGGCCCAATAATTATCTTCTCAGTTACTGTCGCTTCAGTTACCATTGTTCCAGTTACTACCGTTCTAGTAATCATCGTCCTATTTACTACTGCTCCAGTGATAACAACTACCACCAGTCAGTGGCCAATGTCATAGTGACTATTAGCAGTGACCAATGCTACAATGATCAATTCTACAATTATATCTATATACAGTGACAGTTACACATCTACAGTCACTACAATGACAGTTACACAATTACATATTACACTGACCACATAGTTACATGCCTAAAGTGACAGTTACATGTCCGTCCGTATCCAATGACTAACGCCCGCCCATTCAATGACAAGTGTTCACCCAATTAGTGACCTCTGTTTCCCCACCGGTGACCAAACCCGCAGCCTAGTGATGAAACCTTCCGCCCAGTGACCAATACCGATTCACCAGTGACCACCGCCATACCCAACTAGCGACGCCCTCGACCCCCTCCCAACCGCCATACCCAACCAGCAACGCCGCCGACCACCACTACCGACCACCTTCCCACCACCTTCATCTTTGGATTTGCACGGTCATTGCAGATCTGCGAATTCCAGACACAAGAAAGGAGAACAAGACGAAATCTTAAGAGAGCAATAGATGTACGCGGTAATCCAAGCTTCTCGCCATTGGTCCGAGCCCCTTATCCGCCAGTAGTCCGTGCTTCTCGCTACTGCTCTGAGCTCCAGTATGCCGGTAGACCACGGTGATGTTGCCAACACACCGATGAAGAAGTTTGGCTTCGCCGATCGATGAGCTCTTCCAACGACGACCGCTCTCCATCGACCCCTATGAACAACTTCGACGAAGAAGGAAGTCGAACGAGAACGATGGATTGCGGACAGAATAAAGGAGAAGAAGCCTGGGTAGTTACAAAGGCGAGAGCTGCGTTTGCGGCGGTGGAGATTTGCGATTGAGGAGGAAATCTGGGCTGGAGGAGACCTGTGATTGTGGAGATTTGCGATGGAGGAGGCGTTGATGGAACAAAAGTCTGGTAAAGAGAAATTTGGATTGGGCTATTAGGACTAATTTAATTAAGGGCATTTCAGTCCATTTATCAATATTTAGTCTCTTTTTTGTCCAATTTAAAACTTGATCTTATTTTTGTCATTTGAAAGTCTCACGGTAATACTTTAGTCATTCTTTCAAATTTATATATCCAAATTCAGAATAAAAGTTCTATTGATACGCAAACACCAAATCTAATAATGAATTATAAAGTGCTAATGTAAATTAGATAATAAAATGATATTGTGTTGATCAAAAAAGTAAAAATGAATAATCATTTTGGAACAAATAAAGCAACAAAATAATAACATCAAATCAATCTACTTCGGTCCATTATAATAAGAATCCATTATAGGAAATTGCTCAAAATTGGAGTTAAACATAGGAAATATTCTAAAATAGGATTAAGAGTGTCTTCTTTTCTAAATAAAAGATTTATGTAATCCTTTTAACTGAATAAAAGGATAAAAATTCACGGAATTTTGTTATGTTTCACTTCTATTTAGGTTATTTTCTCAAATTTTATCCACAATTGCAGTTTTGCACATTCGTAATATAAATCGATCTTCTTTGTATACATACATGTACATTTATATCTTAAACTAAGTCTAATCAAACAATATTAGTAATGTATTTGCTATTTGTGAAATATGTGACTAAGTTCTAGTGTAAGTTGGCCACCACACTTTGGAATTAATATTTCACCAAACTTTATGTGGGCGTGCTCAACCCTCTAACTTCGGTGGGCATTGCTCAACCCCCAATGATCGATTAAACTTATATGAGTTAAAACTTGGAATTACAAATCTTTATTTATATAATCTAAACCTTTTTTTACTTTTTAATTTTTTTACATACTTGCAATTTCAAATTATTATTTTTTCAGTTGAAAATTATTTGATACTAAGAACTTGAGAATTAGTGGTTAATCACTCAAACTCCCTGTGGGATCGTCATGAACTTTTCATATCTACATGTTAGTTTAGTTTATTATTTGGTGATAAGACGACATGCACAGAATTTTTGCTGCCGATGCAAGGAAATTAAGTAGATTAGCTACTTCTCTGTTAATTTACTAGTAAATTAAAAAAAAACTGTTTTCAAGTTGTTTACATGACTTTCTAATAATAACCGTTAACAATAATTTTACAATTATTATATAATAGAAAAAGTCTCTAAATAGGAGTATAAATGTTTTTGAATTCAAAGATTTTTTTTATATTTTTATTTGCCAAACATTTATTAATTATTACCGTGTTTTAGTATTACCAGATGTTAAATTTGATAGTATTTTCCAAATTTGATAGCAATAACTTCAATTTGGAGATTTAAAAATGAAGTTCTATTTAGAATAATTTCAAAAGTTTTTTACTTCTATTTGAGAATTTTCCCTTATTAAGAAGATACACATGCTTAAATATAACAAGATTTCGTACTTTTACCTTACAACATTTAATTAATTCATAAAATCTACATGATATGTCTTTGGTTGAACTATATGCATCAAATCAGTGATAGTGAGCGGGTAATCAACATAAAATCTATGTTTGTGAGATCATTTAATTGATATTTGTACAATATTATATTTTAAGCATTTTAATGTGTTTGATTATTGTTATACATACATATATTAACCGAAAAGGCCACAAGATTTTATGACCAGTTCTTGGCGTTTCCTCTCACTATTAATTTCTTCAAGAATCACAACAAGTGAAACAATGAAGGCATAATCAACATTTGGACGAATGGACATCGTGAAATTGTCTTTTCCAAGATACGCACTAAAGAAACTTTGACTTCTGTGCATCTGCATGTAAAATGGTGATATTTAATACTCCGTACTATATTGATCAGACATGCACAAACATACAAATATATCTGAAGTTAAAACTAGCTTGTTAGCTAAAAAAATGATTTTCAGAATATATTCATCTTGATCGCCTAATTGTGTTAACTGTTTGTATAAAATAGATATTTGATTTGGTAAACCGATTCATTGTTATCTGAAATTAAATGTTAATAATCATACCGCATATTTCATCATATTTGTATCTTTTAATTTCCTAGTGTTATATAACACATACCTGATATCACAAAAAAATTAAAATTTAATAACGCATTATTGTTTTGTCACTTATGATATATTTGTAAGAAAAATATCCCTGGCCTATAAATAATGTCTAGTAAGTATCATTAACTGTGAAATTTAATTGTATTATTACATGTAGATATCATTTTACGAATAAAGATATCAGTTAGACTTAATAATTACCTAGGATCAAGTATATGTGATTTCAAGAATAGAATTATTTTAATCATGGCTTATTAAAAATAACTACTATTTTGTGTCACGTTTGGATTAACTACTCTTGTTATTAATTATTTTAAAGTATTTTTTATAAATATGAAAATAATAATTTAATATCAAAATAATATAGATGTGGATATGCATTCGGTATAGAGTATTACACCATTTATATTACACCTAAAATATCTTATACTAATATGGTAGATTTTGCAGGATACAATTCATCACCAGGCCATATCTAATTTCATTGTTATGTTACTGAACTGCTAAATATTTACAAACCAATGCTTTACCAATTTAGTTTGACTCTATTAAGCATAACCATTGAAAGTTGTCTAAATGCCTCAATCTATCATTATATTCACCAAGGTATTAGTCATAATACCTAATTGAAGAAAAATATTAGATACTTAATTAATTAATTAATCTATCACGGTATCACCAACCTGAGCAATCATAGTCTTAGTCCCTCCGATGAAAATGTCACAAGAAGTTTCACAACAACTGCCTTTGACGTAGAAATCACACACACCATTACCTTCTTTGGCCATGTTATGTGCCATGAACACTTCAAGTTTTGTCTTGGAATCAGATGTGACTTGAATTAGTGATGACTGTCTAACAGTAAAAAGTACATCATTTTCATCTGTGCTGTCTCCTCTGTATGCTATCCATCTTCTATGTGCAGTTAGTAGCTGCAAGGATATATATGTGCATGCGTTTTTAATTAAATTCATCACAATCTTTAAGTCTTGCAATTTACGTTTATGACATTAACAAATTAAATGTAACGATGCACATTTTCACAGTGTTTGGAAATAGATTTATTTACCAAAATGTCACTACATTTTCCTGTTTTCACGAGAATGACAATTTTTTTTTGTATATTGTTTACCTCGTAATACTTAAGTACTTGATCAAATACAATACCTAATCGTTTGGCACATTAATATGAATGAGAATGATCTTATTTGAACTAATATGAATGAGAATGATCAGGTCAATCCTTTCATACGGAAATGGATAAGATCAATGCTTCTGACCATTCAACAAGGTAAAGATTATTCAAGCAATCATCTTTTCCATTAGATTCAAATACTCAACTCATCAAGAGCAGATCCCCAATTCAGTTGAAAAGAAAATATATTTGCTAAATCTAGAATATTGTCTTCTCTTTCGATGTAGAATTGTTTTTTCCATTGTCATTTCTTTTCCTTTTGAATCTTGAACTATTTTACTTTAGTATTTTAAAAAGGGGTACTGATTAGTGATTACACATCATATTCATTCCTACTTTGCCAATCATGTTAAAGTGTCTTTAATATAAAGTAAAAAATGATAAGTATTATAATAAAAAACTAAAATATTTTATTAATTTAAGTGTCAATGATTAAAATTAACAAATTTTGATCCTTGAAGTGAACATATTATTTTTTTGAAGGGGAGGAAATAATGAGGTAAAGTAACTTAAGTGAAACATTGAAATATAGGTTAATGATCAATCAACATCTCTATGAAGCTAAGGGTGTGAACATAATTAATTAAGAACTTCACCATTGAGGAATCAATTTAAGGCCTTAAACATCTACTTCAACTTTTATATGTTACTATTGTTTAATTTGTTAAAATATATAAAACTTTTGTAAACACAACATTGTCCAAACTTAGCATAAAAATAAAAATAAAAAACTAAAACTCACAACCTATGATAGTATAAGTCTTCAAACTTTATAGTCATAGATTGTTACTTTTCTTTTTTCAGGTTTGTGATTGATAGCTAACATATTTTTACATCCTTGAACTAATAGAATTTCTATATTAAAATTAAATCATACTCCTTAATTCTCTTTATCTCTTTCACATGACACCGATATAAGATAAATCACATGTTCACCTTCAAGATGCTTTAGAGCTACCTACAATTCAATTCTGCCAAAAATCATGTATTCCCTTCATTCGTCCAATTTTCTCAACACCTTAACCTAGAAAGAATCAATATATTCACCAAGCATATTTTTACATATCAATAAATAAACCTTGATTGGTGTAGTCCTAACTTACCCATATATATGTTATACCTCCTCCATTCTTAAGTAAATGCAGCGGTCAACATTCCACATTTGACGAGGCACAACTTTGACCATTAATATATATATAATTCTCTATTAGTAAAAAATTAAAAAAATAGATTTAGAAAATTTACAATGAGACAAATTTAACAATATTTTTTTTCAAAATATATATTAATGCATTAATAAATCAAACGCAATCAAAATAGAACATGTGAATAGTGTAAAATTCAATATGTTGCATTTATTTAAGAACGGAGGTAGCATGTAATTTCGAATTATCACCTCTTGTTTGGGAAGTCATGCCAATAATGAATAATTGGTAAGAAAAATTGATTGCATACCTTGTGTTGGAACGTGACGAGGGGGTTATCAGCAACGTCAAACAAAACACGGCGGTCACGCAAGCTCAACATTTTGCCCCTAACCTTAAACCATTGATCGCCATAGATGTCGTTGACCGAGATGGTAGTGCCTTCCATTAACATCATCATCATCTTCCTAGTAACGTTCAAATCTATCACATATGGTGCCAAGTAGTTTTGGCCGACCACGATCACCGGTTCGGCAACCGCTTCCGGTGAAGGCGTCGGAGGCGGGTGGCGCAATGTTGTTATCATCGTTCATTTAACTTTATCAACTCCTACAAAGCTTACATCCGTTTTTCTTACCTTTAATAATCTCCGGTGGATTTTATTAGCCAAATGCATGCATGGATGCATATATCTTCGATCAAGTTATAGAGGTGCAGAAAAGTTTGTTGAACCATTGGTGAAAATTGAATAACTACTCGTAATTTATTTATTTACAATTCCATTAAAACACACGGAAAAATTAAAAAAAAATGCATGTATCAATACACAATATCAAGGGAAGGTGGTGGCTAAAGGCCTTGGACAACTTTTTCATTTTCTTATATATTTAGTTTATTCTGTTATTATTTAAGTCTAGTATAATTATTCTACAGTCCATCCCAAATTAGATTTCTACATTTACATTTTAATCACGGGTATTATGGCTCGATCGCATGGATATAGTACTATATACACACACACTTATGTAAGCCTATTATTGTATTTAATTGAGCCTAGATTTTCTAAAACTTATTAAACTCAAGTGCATACATAAAGTTATTGTTTGAATAGGTATTAGGTTACCTCATATGAATGTAGTAATATTTTTGGATGAAGGTTAACCATGGTGAACATGTTAAATTACTTGTAAAGAGAATTTTACCTATGTACCCTATCCCGAGGTTTTCCAAATCTGGGTTATTGGAAGTTATATGAAGTGAATCTAAACCAAGGTTTCTTGTCACATAATAGAAAACATGCAAATCAAACAACGTGAACCACTAATTTAACCTAGAAGAACTTAGGTTCAACTCGAAATGACAGACCTTTACTCGGTGTGTGTAATTTTGTTCAAATACAAAATGTTTCACACGTGAAACAAAAATCTCGACCATTGATTTGATAAAGTAGGAGGACCAGATCAATTTTAAATTCAAAATGTGGTGGTGTTATGGTAAATATGGAATTTTTTAATGGAATTACTAAAATAAAAGTGCATCATTATATTGTATTCTAAATGTGCACTAGTGTAATCAATAGTTTATACAAAAATAAGTGTAATTAAATATTTACACAAAAATGCACTTGTAATATGAAAAAATTCACTTTTATAACAAAACATTGTACCTTTGGGTTTATCTATTTACTGTTATCACCATGTTTTGAATAAGTGATGATGTAATGCGCCCTTTTTTGACATAAAAATCCAAGATTTATTTTAATGTGTGTGACAGATCAGAGAGACAGAAATAATAACTCAGAATTAGAGTAAAATGGGAGTGAAGTGATAAGAGAAGAAAAATAGTTAAAATTTATTTTTAGGAGTAGTGAATATGGTGGTCATACTTTGAGGAAATATTTTATGCTTATCATTGTGTTTGCGTGCTTTGTATAATCATATTATTTTACGTTAGGGTGTTAGTAATTGGCAATTGGTTGTTGACAATTGATTGATAGCTAGTTGTATTAGCCGATAGATGATATATGAGATTAAAAAAATGGGGTCTCACTGAATGTTTAGTGTTACATGGTATCTAGCTTATATAATGACATGTAAATATTTTTAAATTTACTTGACTTTGTACATACATTTATATAAGCTTTTAGATTTAGTTTTGATACAAAATTACTATCACTATCTTTGTCCAAAATGAAAGTTGGAGTTTAATTATTTACTAAGAACGACTTGTCAACACAATTAACTTTTCATATTGAGTTTTATGCATCAAATTTTTACTATATTTAGATTTGAGTTCCGCAATTTAATAATCTTTTAAAGTAGTGTAAGATTGTAAATTTTAACTTTTAATTCTAAGAATATTGTGAGGAAAAATTTGTTTTTATCATGGGTCAATCTACAAAATTCGCAATGTAACTTTTACATGGAACAGATTTAGTAGTAATTAGTAGTATTACAAGAGTGATGTTGCGTTTGCACCTCAAATGGTATTCATCCAAAACTAGATTTATATCATTTTTAATAAGTTAATGTGTGCATCCCATTCCATTGTACCTTATTGCTTGCACCTTATTCCTTCATAACTTTTTGAATGGAAGGGTACACACATTAGTATTTTTGAAAAAGAGGTGCAAAGTTTAATTTAACCCAAAATAGGTTGCAATGTCAAGTTTTTCTTATTATTGGTTTAGTATTAATATATTGTTACAGCTTATAGCTAGTCTAAAACATTTTTATTTAGTACCAAGATGGGTGCAGATGCATGGTTTTTATTAAAAGAATAAGGGCATCCCCATTGTTTAGATTATTTAGAGTTTAATTGGATGATGTGTAAGATTATTTTAAAGATTATCATTGTGAGCGAGAGATTATTTAGAGAGATTATTAAAAAAGATAATAATCCGGTATCAGGATTTGAATCCCGGATTATTTTAGGTTGTAGTTAAATTTCATTTAATGCATGGTCTAGAAAAACTAATTATTTGAATATCATGGTTGATGGAGAGTTTAAAGATTTGAGATTATTTAAAATTTATTTAATAAATATGATGTGTCAATGATGTGTCATAGAAAAACCATTTATTTTAAGACCATGAGTGGAGATGCTCTAATAGGATGGATGGAAATGTCTACATAGCTGATTAACAAGGACAAATACGAACTAACAGTCAAATCAGCAATTATGACAGGATGATGGGGGTGTTTGGATGTGATTCTTAAAAATGCTTCTGCTTTTTCACAGAGCAGAAGCAAAAGTTGGAGTGTTTGGGTGGAAGTGCAGAAGTACTTCTGGTGCCATAATTTACTCACAGTATCAATGTTTTTAGAAATTGAGGGATACCAGCTTCTGAAAATTGATTGTGATTCTACTTCTGCTTTAAAAAAAAAGCAAAAGAGGTTCCAAACATTTTGATAAGTGATCGCCAACCAACTTACCAACTATCAAGCACCCCAATATGTTTGCTAGTAATATTTTATCTTTATACTCCGTATATTGTTTACATTCAGTCACCCACCACATTATTTTTGTGTTGTACGTACGCTTGGGAATATGCTTGGTTTGCAAGCTATTCACACAATCACACCCAATCCAATACTTCATGATTTTGACCAGGCCAATTGTATGTAATCGTCTTTTATTTTTCTGATTAATGATATATTCTAAACTTGGACCAATTATTCTAATGTGACAATAAGTATATTTGCTTTCCTCAATCAAATGAGGAAGGCAAATATTCTAACGACACTCTAATGTTTGGCTCGTTTATGAGAAATTGGATTTTGACTTAAGAATATAGCATTCTTGTTGTCACATAGAAGTACAGGTGGAGAGCGTGTAGGAACACGAAGTTCACGAAGTAAGTGCACTAGCCATAGAACTTCCGAAGCAACATTTGCAAGAGCTCGATACTCAGATTCACAGCTTGAGCGGGAAACAGTGGGTTGTTTCTTAGCACTCCATGAGACAATATTACCGCCAAGAAAAACTCCAAAACCATAAGTAGAGCGGCGTGTGTAGTCCATACAACGGGCCCAATCTGCATCCGAGTATGCAATGATAGACTGAGGGGCCTGATAGTCAAAAGATAATCCATAGTGAATAGTGCCCTTAACATAGCGTAGTATACGTTTGACAGCTTGAAAGTGGTCTTCTGTTGGGGATTGTAAAAATTGGCTGACTGAATTAACGGCAAAGGATAAATCAGGACGAGTGATGGTCAAATATTGAAGTGCACCAACAATAGACCGGTAAAGAGTAGGATCCGAAAATGGCTGACCAACACTAGTCATAGAAGCACCAAGCGCCAACGGAGTAGAGACAGGTTTAGACTCTAACAAGTCAACTCGTTGCAAAATATCATGAGCATACTTTGACTGTCCCACGAATAAACCAGTAGAGGTGTAAGACACTTCGAGTCCCAAGAAATAATCAAGTCTACCAAGATCCTTAATTGAGAATTCTTTATGAGTGCGAGCAATAAACTGTTGGAGCAAAGGAGGATCATTACCCGTGATAATGATGTCGTCTACGTAGAGCAACAAGTAGAGAACCGAGGACCCCTGATGGAGAAAAAATAAGGAAGAGTCCGAACGACTTTGCCGAAAGCCAACAGTAAACAAAAAGTCGCTAAAACGCCGAAACCAAGCCAAAGGAGCTTGACGAAGTCCATAAAGTGCCTTTTTAAGACGGCATACATGGTTAGGAAATTGGGTACTAACAAACCCAGGTGGTTGAGCCATGTATACAGGTTTGTGAAGGACCCCATTCAAAAAGGCATTATTAACATCCAGTTGATGAAGATCCCATCGAAAATGTACTGAAAGAGCAAGAATAACCCGAACAGTAGATGCTTTGACAACAGGACTGAAAGTATGAGAAAAATCCATACCAGGAATCTGTGTGAAATCTTGGGCAACAAGCCGAGCCTTGTACCGGTCAATAGTACTGTCAGAGCGAAATTTTGTACGGTACACCCATTTGGAACCAATAATATTTGTATTAGGCGGACGAGGCACAAGTTCCCATGTATTATTTTTGTAAATAGCATCGAGCTCCTCTTGCATAGCAGCGACCCAGTGAGAAGATTTCATTGCAGACTTTATGCCACGCGGCTCGGAGGTGGCAAGCAAGGCGGATATTAAAGGTGAGGCGGCAAAGTGAACTGGATATTTGGGCTTAAAGATACCAGACTTGGATCGGGTAGTCATAGGATGGGAAGGTTGGGGTAAAGTCGGTGGAGGGGTTGGTGTTGGTGGTGCATGGTGAGATGGAGGTGAAGAGGCAGAATGTTGCTCTGGAGGAGGGGGAGTGGGTGGAGAGGGTTCGGTACAAATATGGCAAGGCTTGGCAGGTTGTAGGTTTAAAGAGGGTGGAAGCATAAGTTTGGGTGTTGGTGTGGGAGTAGGTGGGGTTGTGGGTGAGAGATGAAACTCTGGTTCGCAAAAGGCAGATAATTCTAGTTTGGACGGGGTGGAGGAGCCATTATTTCCGGAATATGGGAATAAATGTTCATCAAATTGTGCATGGCGTGTGATGAAAATGTGAGCACTGGCAGGATCGTAACACCGAAATCCTTTATAAGAACAACTATATCCCAAGAAAACACATGGGCGACTGCGGGAGGCCAATTTGTGAGGAGCATAATCTCGGAGATAAGGAAACACACGACAACCAAAAGGCTTGAAATATGTGTAATCAGGCTGAGACCCAAAGAGTAATTCGTAAGGAGACCGATTAGCCAAGACAGGAGATGGTAGACGGTTGATGATATATACCGCGGTGGCAAAGGCATCAAACCAAAAGGTAGCAGGAATATGAGCTTGAAACATCATAGACAACCCAACTTCTGTAATGTGCCGATGCTTGCGTTCGGCACGGCCATTTTGCTGCGGAGTATAAGGGCATGAGAGTTGATGATGAATTCCCCGGGAATGCAAAAAATCACGCATACGATGGTTGGTAAATTCTGTTCCACCATCGGACTGAAAGACCTTCATGGCTGTGGAGAATTGATTGCAAACAAATTGATGAAACCTTTCAAATATGGAAAAAAATTCTGATTTGGCCCGCATGGGATATAGCCATGAAAACCTAGAGTAATCATCCACAAAAAGAGCATAATAGCGATACCCGTCTCGGGATTGCACAGGTGCCGGTCCCCATAAGTCACAATGAACAAGGTCTAATATACCATTAGCACGTTTGTCATTTAAATTAAAAGGAAGACGCTTACTTTTAGCTAATTGACAAGACGGGCAAAGGCCAGGATTAGGTAAAATTGAAGTAACTTCCAAATGTCCAAGTTTATGTAAAAGGGAAATTAACTGAAATGGGACATGCCCCAATCGTAAATGCCATAAATGAAATGAAGCTTTTAAATTTCTGCTTTTCAAATGAGCCACCAAAGCAGGATGACCACGCTCCAACATGTACAACCCTTGATCACATCGTCCCTGAGCTAGAGGCACCTTTGTCTCTCGATGCTGAATAGTAAAACTTTTGTCAGAGAAAACAACCTCAACAGGATAATCAGATGTAAGTTTGCTAATAGATAAAAGATTTTTTGTGATATGCGGAACAACCAACACATCGAGCATACGGAGATCAGGGGATAAAGAACAGGTGCCAATATGAGAAATATGTAAATTGGAGCCATTACCAATCACAACACTGCCATTACCAGAATATGGCTCAGGATTATCCAAAAGAGAAGTTTGAGGTGTCATATGAGCACTGACTCCGGTATCAACGTACCAATCAGAAACGGGATCATTAACGTTGCACGAACCGGTGAAAGCTTGAGCTAGATTGGCTGTAGAGGGCAAAGAAGCAGGTCGGGCCTGAAGAAATTGGGGGCACTGATTAGCAAAATGTGGCCCGCGACAAATTTGACATCTGGGGACAAATGGTTTGCGTGACCCAGTACCGGTGGTGGAATTCTGGCGTGCTCTAACGGGATTGCTGGAGGAAGAAGCCCCGCGAGAATGGCCGGTACTACCATGGTCGGAGGTGGGACGGTGGCGAGATGAATTTGAACCACGAGAAGAAGCCCCACGATGATGGGAACTGTAGAACGCAGCAGGGGCAGAAGCAGGTCCCTCCATAGTACGAAGAAACAGATCATACTGTTGAGCTTGAGGCAAAAGGTCACGAAGAGGAAGAATCGGATCTCTGGACATGCGATTGTCAGCAAAGCTAATAAATTGAGGTCCCAATCCGCATAACAACCAGTGAGACTTGTCTGATTCTTCAACTGGGCGGCCAATTTCCGACAACTTGTTGCAAAGGTCTTTGAACTGGCGGCCATATTCTTCCACAGAGAGAGAACCACGGCGAAGGTTTTGCAATTCATCTCGAAGTTGATTGGCCCGGGCAGTAGAGGAAGGAGAAAACGCAGCTTCAAGTGCGAGCCAGGCATCACGGGAAGTCGAACAGCCTACAACCTCAGCCATAGATTCTTCAGTCAAGGTAAAGAAAAGAACTCCAAGGATTTTTTGATCCGTGGTCCGCCATGATGCATAGACTGGGTTAGAACTTTCAACGGAATTGGTAGTGATGGTCTTAGGAGGAACAGGGACTGAACCGTCAACATATCCAAGCAAATCGAAGGCAGTGAGCATTGGAAATACCTGACTTTTCCAAAGAAGAAAATTAGTAGAAGAGAGTTTGATGGTAACCATGTGGACCATGGTTGCAATAGGGACGGAATCTGAACTCGGAGAAGTCATGGCTGGTTTTGTCGAAGAAGACAGAATAATAAGGGAGAAGGGGGGGGAGGATTTACGGTGATTTGGCTGATACCATGACAATAAGTATATTTGTTTTCCTCAATCAAATGAGGAGGAACTTTCCACTATAAATAATACAAGGTTACAAGATTATACAAGGAAATTAAATCAAGGAATGAATGAAATTAATTACAGGGGATTCTAGAGAATAGTAGAGAATATTACATATTTGCTAAGTATTATTATTATTATTATTATTATTATTATTATTATAATGAATATATTTATGTGAAGCTTACAAATTTTATACTTTATGATAAATTTTTTGAACAAAAAAACTTTTACATACCATTTGTCATAGTATAAATATATGATTCGGCAAAACTTAACATTATCAGCGTGAGAACTCAAAGATGTCTAACTAAAATGGGAGAAGTCAAACGTGTACCTTATAGTTCAATGGCATCATTGTGACACTCATGAAGATTGAAGAGTAGGTCCGTATTTGAAACTATTCTGAATTGCAAATGTTTGCATTTAATAGGAAATATATGTAATATGCGAGAAATCACTATCTTAAAAAAGAAAAAAGAAAAAAAGGAAAAGTGTCAAATAGGCCCGCCACTAATACGAAAAAGTCAATTAAGCCTCCGAACTCAAAAAACACTCAATTAAACCCACAAACTATAAAAAACGAGGCAAAACAGTTCTTTTGGCATGTAATTAACCGATTCCACGTAAACCTTTACATGTGGCGACAGCCGACAGGTGGCCACAAATGGCAACACGTGTGTGACACGTGGACTAATGGAACTAGGAACTGGTTAATTACATGCTAAAAGGACTGTTTTGCCTCGTTTTTTATAGTTCATGGGTTTAATTAGGTGTTTTTTGAGTTCAGGGATTTAATTGACTTTTTCGTATTAATAGGGGGCCTGTTTGACATTTTTCCCAAAAAAACAAAAACAAAAACAGGAGGAATGAAGTTAGAGAGAGAACCACCACAATTTACACACTTGGGATCCAAGTCATGATCAAATTTCCGACTGATTGGCCTCAAGGGTGGGATAAAATAAGGTGAGATAATCACTATGTAACGGACCACAAACTAGATTTGAGTCGCACGCTAGAACATACCAAAATAAATCAAATGAGGTGTGACAACTGACAAATATATATCCATGTCATTTTACTTAGACTAGGTTTCATTCGCAGACTAGAACAGACCAGAAGAAATCAAACCAGACTAGACTTTGACAATTGTAAAGTACACTTAGACCAGACATCTACCAAATCAAATTAGATCAGTTCAAATCAAACTAGACTTAAAAGACCAGATCAGAAAATTCCAGTCCAATTATAAGATCATACGATCTTTTTTATTTTTTAGTATATATCCTTCCATTCCCTATTCATACTTAAACATCTTTAATTAACTTTAGGAATAATTACAAATATATAACAAAAATAAAAGTAATTGATAAAAGTATGACTCTAGTAACTTTTGTGACTATAATTGTATTCAAATTGCATCATAGTGATTATAAAACTTACTCTTAGTAACTTTATAGTCACTTTTTTATCCACAAATTATTATTACTAATATTTTAGGAAAAAGCTCTTAAATTTATAGAAATTGCTCAAAATAGAATAAACATAAACAAAGTGCAAAAGTGGGACTAAGTGTGTTTTATTCCTTTAATGGGGCTTATTTAGTTCTATTAAGAGAAAAAATTGATTAAAACTTTCTAAATTAGGAGTGAACGAGTCTTATTTTGGAAATAAAATAATGATAGTCTTATCATTGTTTAGTCCCCTTTAATTTAAAGATCGAATTTTCTCTTAACTTTATTCATCTCTAAGTTTAAACTTTGACTAATGATATATTTATATACACAATATTTATAATTGTAAATTTACTCTTATAAAAGCATAATGTCTATGACTTCCATAAATAATAATACATATTAATCAAAATAATTATTAGCTAGCAAAATTTTATCACAATTGATCGAGAAAGTTAAAGCAGTAAAGTTTTCAAGAACTACAAGTTTGATTATTGTTTAGTTTCTGGCTAGTATCTCAGTATATGTTTTCAAGGTCATTCCAGTGCAATTATCGGAAATGAAAAATAAAAAATAGTTTCAAATGATTTACCTTCATAATTAAGGATATGATCTGCATGTGGGCAAATTTATGAAGATGATGGATGATATGGCTGCTGGAGTGGATATGCTTGCAGGAATCCACCATTAACATAAAGGCAAAGTGGTCATGATGGCGAAGGCGGACACATGAAATACCAACTCAGATGATTAACTCATTAAGCCACTAACTTTTTTTTTGATAATTTTAAGCCACTAACTATATACTAGTATTTTTATTTATGTAAGTGTGTAGACAATTAATAAATGTGTAGTATTAATTATAATAATGAAGGGTATAGTACATGCATGATGAGTTGGTAATGCACGTGCCCTGCTTCTCCATCTTGATCAACACTTGCCTTGGCTTCTTCTCATCCCACAACTCAAACCAATCACCTCAAAGAACGATCAACATATATACAAATATGAAATATGATTAATAAAAACAATCAAATATTTGAGAGGATCAACCGAGAGAAATTGCCTTCAGAAAGAGGCTAATTAATTAGTTATATTAGGCCATATATATAGTTAGCTAGGAATACTAGGAAATCACATAGTGCATGCTATGCTCTCCGTTGGCTCAGATTTATAACCACAACTCCACAAGCTAGGTAGCGCTAACCCGGTTCTATTATATTGCACGAGTTATAGTTGGGGCCGTTTGGTGATCCTCTTCTTTTAGTTTTTCATGTTTATCAGTCAACTTTTTCACTAAACATGTAACTTTTGATTTCGCACGCTCGATTGTGCAATAATAAGAAAAGGTAAGGTTGGAGTTTCTTTCCTGATTGTATTGGCTAAAATTACTGTACATGATCATTGTAATAATTATTTCATATAAGTTTTCATTAATTAATTAATAAAATATATTTTAATTATTTTTTTTCATAAATCAGCAGAATTAGCCAATCCAACCACTTCAGCCATAACTTCATAAATTTCAGCAGAATCAGCCAATGCAGCCGATTTGGATATTACAAAACGGACTCGGACTATAAGAGTTTCTACAAATATGTTAGGGAAATTTCCTAATACAATAATAAAAATAAGGTGATTTCTTTAAATGATACTGCAATAATGTTTTTCTCTTGAAATGTTGGATATTTTCCCAAAATATGAGTGAACACATTCAAGAATTGGAAAATATGAATGTCGTGTTTTTATTCTTAAAATATGAGCAACATGACATTATTTAATGCAATCTTGCAGTCATTACTGCAAAAATAATTGCACTATTAAGCATTAACATGACACTATTTATTGTCTTTAATGACAGTATTTTCAAATCATGACAATAACAACTTCTAAATCATGAATAACAGCACGCATAATTGTACTCCTTTTTTGCATTCTAAAACTTTTTTATTCCTACTTAGAACAATTTCTCATAGAAGTAATTTCATCTTAAAACAGTACTTCCATATAGACATTAATATGACAATACTTTGTAGGGTTGGATCATATTACTCCTATTTAATTTGACACTTCTAATGTCATGATTAATATGACAATACTTTGTACGGTTGGATGCAGTTTTAATAATGTCATGATAATATCATAACATTTTATTCGGTACGTAGTAATTACTCATATCTATAGCCGACTATAGGACAACTTAATCGATACTCCTCTTCCGACAAATCATGTTTTTTATATTCGATTTAGGAACTTTGTTAATTTGCTTTCTCAATTCTCAAGGCTCAGTTCTTAGATAACTAATTAAGCAAATATAATGAAGAAATTAAGTTTGTGCAATTACAATGACATCGAGGTTAGTTACACCTGCCTTCAATTTTCATCCACCGTACCTTTCTTGAAAGAGCAACTTTAATAAGTGGTGTCTGTTGCTAGCACCTGAACTGCACCACCACTATGCTTTTTTGAGGAATTGGTCCCTCCCATAAATATGCAAATGACACATCACACATCCAAGGAGTATGATTTTAAAATTATGTAGTACTCCTGTTTCACCAACAAAGTCATACTTTCCTTTTTTGAATATTTCAAAAACAAAGTCATACTTCCCTTATTTCCTAATTTGGCAAAAAAATGTACTTCAAAACAGTGCCAAACAGTGTTAAAAAGTGTCAAACAGTGTCTGAACAGTGTCTAAACAGTGTTTTCTACAGTAAAATCAATTTATTTCCTTAATCCTAGAGAAGTCTAACCGTGACTTTGTTTGCGAAACGGGGAGTATATATAAAGATTAATGATTCGATAATCAAGTTTAAGGTAAATTTTAAAAGTATCTAGTATATATAAAGATTAATGATTCGATAATATTTAGATTTCATATCATTTTATGTGGAAAAGGGGTCAATAACCCTTTCTACTTATACGTATTTCCAATCTATCTTTAAATCTCTATATTAAAAAAAAGAATGATATAAGTATACTTACTTTAAAAATTGATTGATTTGATCTTTTTATCAATTTTTGACCTGCAATAATAGGTTTTTTATACGCAGTGTAAAAAACTTAAAACCTGTTTAAATTTGAAGAAATAAAGATAATAATGATGAAAATTTTTCAACATACTAAAGTCAACATTTTTGCATTTTTGAATTTATTTGTATATTCTACATCAGTTTAAAAGGTTTTTACGTTTTTATTTTACATTTTTTTACATTTTCACTTCATTTTTTAGTTTTCCATTTTTTATTTTATTTTAATGTTATTAAAATATTTATCTATTTTTACAACTATACAATTATTACATGATTTTTCAAATTTATGAGTTCTTGTAAGATTTGTGAATAGCCCTAATTTAATTTTAAAAAATAACGTGTCATAAGAGGTCAAATTGACTTAATTGATTATATTTTAAAAGTAAGTGTACTTATATGATTCTATTTTTAATAGAAAAATTTAAGTGATAGACTGAAAATGGTAGAATGGTCCATTAACCTTTTTCCCTTTTTATGTGAGAACCAAATTTAGTTTTACAGTACTCCACAGTCCACACACAAAATATGTAGCTCATTCACAATACTATAGGATACAAATATAGAATGTCATCATTATTATCTTTCAAACTCCATATATTGCGAAAAAAAACAAAATTTTATTCCTTTCAAACTCCATATATTGCGAAAAAAAACAAAATTTTATTCTTGAAAATAGAAACTACCAGCGTTGGAAAGTGATGAGACCTTTCGTCGGATTTATCTTCCACTGAAATTCAGCTTTCATATTTTTATTATTTAATCTTGCGAACTAAAGCCATTAATTTGGTCGAATCTTGTGACCATTCAATACAAGAAATTTCAAACACACTCCATACATATTTAGGAACGCATCAAAGATTTTACCCCACTGAATTAATTCTTAGTTTATTTAAGATAGAAAAAATAGACTTTAAATTATATCAACGTACTATCTTTGATGAACCAGGAATAATACTTGTACATACTTTAGAAATAACTTTAATAATACCAATTATCTGAATGTAAATCAAAAATAAAATAGAGTCATTTCTCTACAAGAAATCCAGTCAGTTAAGACATCAAAAGTTAATTTCAAATCATCAAATAATGAATATTTGGAAATACAATCACTTATTTGATATTTTAATATAAGTTTTGATGAGTTAAATAATTGAACTTTTAGTAAAGATTTACTTTATACTCCGTATTACTTTTGATATACGGAGTATATTCAAATAGTCGATATTATTAAAAATTACTACGGAGAAAAATACGTAGAATAATACTATAAATAGTTGATATACGTAGGGATGGACTCGAGCCGGGCGGCCCGGCCCGGTTACTGTTTGAACCGGCCCGGGAACCGGTCCGGGGGACGGTTCGGGTCGGCCCGGCCCGGTTACTGTGCGGTTTGGGCCCGGGCCCTAGGATTGGCGAACCGGCCCGGCCGGTTCGGGCCCGGTTCGGGCCAAATTAATTTTTTTTTTGAATTAATTTTTAAGTTTTTGGGTTGGGCTGGGTATTTTGGGCCATTTGAGGTGGTTTGGGGGTGAGGGGGGAGGGTTGGGGGTTAATTAGCAAAAATAGAACTGAGGCCCGGCCCGGCCCGGACCCGGGATTACCTGGGCTGGTTCCGGGCCTCCCATTCCTGAACCGAGGCCCGGCCGGGCCCAGGCCCGAACCGGGCCCGAACCGGAACCGGTCCACCCATAGATATACGGAGTATTTACATAGTTCGTATTATTCAAGGGGGTGTTTGGATCTGATTCTCAAAACTGATTATGCTCCTTCAGGGAGCAGAAGCAGAAGCTGGAGTGTTTGGGTGAAATTCCAGAAGCACTTCTGGAGCTCTAATTTACTCTCAGAATCAGTTTTTTTAGAAGCTGGGGGTACCAGCTTCTGAAAACTGATTCTGATTCTGCTTCTGCTTTTAAAAAAGAAGCAGAAGCAGTTCCAAACACCCCTTAATTTATGAAAGATAATTGGTACTCCGTATTATTTATAATTATTTTCTCTTTCAGATAAGACACATACCTTTGTAATTAAATTTTAACTAGATAAAACATTATATTCTAGATAAACCTCTAGATATACATGGCTCGCTCAAATCCAAAACTGGTCAATTAGATTCTGGTTAAAAAAAATTAATCTAAACACCTGAAGTAATCAGAGCAATCGGGTCAAATCTAACCCTGTTCATCCCACCAGTTCCACCACCTTGTAAAAAGTTTGGAGTCGGACACTAATTATATTCAGGGGTATATAATTAATTCCTCCTTGCACATTTTTCATCCGGTTGAGCCGAGCGGATGAAACTTTGAGAGTGTAGAGCTTTGAAATACATTCGATTTGATATATTACATCTCTCGTAACTCGTTTGAAAAGGTTATGACTTCTAGAAAATGAGCACTATCTAAACGTAAAATAAATTTGATGCATAATATGGATTATTTTCACAAATTTTAGAAAAAGATTATAATTAACTCATTACCAACGTGACATGACTCCGAAATAGAGCAAAGACAATCTACCATATTGTTACGAGTGCCTATTTATCTGAACTACATATAAAACATTTAACCTGGACATTGTCTAAAAACGATCCACCATTTTCATTTTGTATAAAGTTGATTTCCGACGCCCTGGACCGTTTTTCTGGCTCCGTCACTGGCTGAGCCATTTAGGCAAGACTAAGCCATAAGAAGTATACGACTATACTCAGCCTGTTCATAGCCAATTCATTCAAATTTTAAGATGACATTTGGTGGTCATAAATTAGATTTGATGAAAAACATGTTCAAAAGCTGTCATGAAAAAATTCCACCGAAAGGTCCCCAAATGATCTTCACCGGACGACGCCACGACGGGTCCGGTCAAGATCGCTACTCACAGGTTAAAGTCAGACCGATAAAATATGGGTCATTGAACTAATATAAAAAAATCTTGAAGTATTTCTGAACTATACAGTTAGGATGTAACTCTAGGTCGTCAATAATAAAATTGTGGTAGTTTGATCTAAAGCAGATAATACACTTGATTAACAAGGCGATCCTCCTCCAGCTTAAATCCATTACTAACAGCCAAACCTACTATAGTATCCTTATAAGTTATAACTATGCTTTGTTTGATTTCAGAAGTGACGCATAGCCTATAA